CTACTGTATGAAGGGGCTCACTGCTGGGCTCCACCGCACAGGGGTTTGCCTTTCTTACTGTCTGACTGCTTTCTAATAATTATCTTGCTCTTAATTCTCCAACTTGCAAGCCACTTGCCAAAATATGATTTATTTGTTTATTCATATTTTGGTTTGTTGTTAAAGATGTGTACAATTTACACAAGCACTTTTCAGATCGTAGATTTCACAAAACCTGTTGAACCTTTCAGGTTTTTTAATGCAACATTCTTTGGAGAAGATAATCTCGCAGCATTGTGCCATCGCAGGATGCTTTTACTGTATGCATTATCACCTACTACGGTGTGCTGTCTCTGAAGTCACAGTATGTTCACAGTATAAGGACAGTTCTCCCATTTTTATGATATAGGGAACTTTCTTGGGATTGAAAGAAGACTGTAGGGGTCTGAATGATGCTTTATATAAATGTATATACATACACATATGTATATACATATACATATGTGTATATGTATATATATATATATATATATATATATATATATATATACATACTGTACATACATATGTATATACATATGTATATATGTGTGTATATACACATATACAAAGCGGAGAAGATTCAATTGATTAAATATCAATTTTCAATCACTATTCCGTTAATTTTCTGATGGAATTATAATCTAATGTGCAGTACTGAGGAAATCAAATGGATCAAACAGAAATCAAAAGCCTGTGTGAGTGTGTGGAGTGTGTGTGTGAGCGTATATGTGTAAATAAATATATGTATACATGTGGCAGGCACACACCAACTATGGACCTTTTATAAAATCAGTATGTATGCTGGCCTTTTGAGCACACTTTGGTGTCAAAAGTGACCCTTGGCTTTTTTCTCCTTTTTACCGGGGTACAGAGCTCATGACGACACTAGCTATGTAACACTATGACTATAATTTGACTATATTTATTTTGTAACTGGTAGAGGCTCAAGAGCAGTTCGCTGTTGTAGGAAGAACAGGCCATGAGAAAGCTTGGATGTTGCTTAATGGTGCCATATTTTATTTGTTATTATTATAATTGGCCTTTTAACTTTTCCTGTTATTTCTGTTTCTGCTTATTTGTAGTTGTTGCTGTTGGCCCCACGTCCACACAGTCACTGTGACCTACTGCTTTCAAGCTCGTCACTTCAGATAAAACACATTAGAGGTTAAGTTAAATATTTGTGGCAATTGATTTTATGGCAATGACCAGGAGTGGTTGAGTGTAGAATATCAACAAATATATATCTGAATGGAAGTAGTCCCCAAAGCTCCAACAGTCTCTTCACCTGAGTCGTTTTAAGCTTTATACATGGTGCTGTAATCTGTTACAGTTATGTTGGTGTTTATCCCACAGATCTTATTCTCCCAAAGTTTAATCTTACAACGAAGGTCTTTCCAAAAATTAAGTTTCTCCAAATGTTTTGCCATGGTACACCATAACATCAGGGCTTTCGCAATAGAAAAAGTAAAAAGATGTGTTATATATTGTTTGATCTCAAAGGTATGTACATATATATTTCTATTTAAATATATAGCAACTATATGAATATTAAAAAGGAAATATTAAAGCCGATTTAATTGAAAATATATATAAAAAATCACAAGACAATCTCTTAGGATAAAACCTGCGAGAAGGGAGTGAAGCAGAGGGAAGCTCATGGCTTAAACGGGTACTACCACCAAGGACAGAGGAACAACATGAGTTTAGAGAATTCTACAAGGATCTTGTGATTTTGTACATGTCTGGCTGCGGCGCTTGTGTAGCAGGCCGTGGCTTATCGAGGACAAGCACAGTAAAGATGAAGTGTTGTATGAGATGTGTTGATGATTAGCTGTGGTCTATGGCAGAAAGCGTGATGTTAAATATAAGCATTTTCAACATGAAGGAACAGCCTACAAAGCAAGTGAACTTATTGTAAAATGTTGTATTGTTCCTTCCAAAGGTGTGTTCACAAACTTATGTCATAGCAACTCTTCACGACTGCAGGCGAGACACAAGCATATGCTTCATGGCAGTTCAATGACTAACATTCAATAAGGGTAGAAACAGAGTTGTTTTTATTTTTACAAAATAAAGATGCCTTCACATTTCTATTGTATGTATGCAAAATTTTCCTTTTAATATCAGAATCTTCTAAACTAGATATCGTAAGGATCCAAGGAAAACATCAGTTCTCATTCAGCTTCCTCTGCACAGGAAAGCGGCAGTTTTGACACTGGAATAAAGATTTTATGCTGATTCAGTAATATTCTCTGTATCAATTCAAAACCATCTTGTATCTACTATAACCAGAGTAATATTACATTTGAACTTTGTTGAAAGAATTATCATATAAATTGAACAATCTTCCAATTGTTTCTGTGTACAACCAACATCAAAACATGCCAACTCCAGCTCAACCAATCAGACGCCATTGTCTCCCTGTACCCTCCCCCACATACGCCCCAAGAGGATCAGTGTACATATGAAAGTGTTTTGTATAGAACAAGTACTATTTTGGACATCACTAGAAACCAGGGCACATTGTAAACTTTCAACTGAAGATATTGTTACAAAGCAGATCTTAATGAAGAATTATAGAATTTTAGTTACACTGCTTTATCTTTTTTTTGCCAGTCAATTCAAATTTGGGTGGATCCTGCGTCTGTAACTAGGTCTTCTTTAAAAGGATGTTTGACTCTGTTACTCTTTCTATCTCACTTTACTTTGCCACAGGAAGCTTATATTTTTTGCCTTTTTTAATGACTACGTTTTTATGGAGGACTGCTGCATTGCATGTTCTGGAGATTTTGCTGGTGAAAAATAGAAAAAGGCAATTTGAAAAGGGGACTTCATAAAATATTTTAAAATGCAAAGGTTGTTCCTTAACTTTTATGAGGGAATTGTTGCTTCAAATTTGCAGTTGCGTGTGTTTAATTAAACAGTTTCTTTTTTATGAAAACAAAAAACCTTAAAAAGAGAACTCAACACCTTGTGCAATAAAGATATCTTTTTATGAACCGCGTGAGTTTTTTCAGCTTGTGCTTTCACAGATAGTTCCTGTTTAAAGTGTCCATATGTTTTCTTTGTCCACAAAGTACCACCTGAGCTACACTAAGTCTGTCACAAAGTATACTAACAGGCCTACATCATTTACAACGCATTGTTTTGACTTTCCTGTATACCCAATATTCTAAACTTTCATAGACATGTGTTATATGGAGGAACTCAAATAACAACAAAAAAAGAGTTCCTGCATAACTTCACTTCTGAGATTTGAATAATGCATCAGTTTTATTTATTGAAAACTCGACATGACATGTACACAGTCGTGACAAACTACTGTAGCCGATCAACACCAATCTTTCATGCAAACACAAGACTCATTCTCAAAGTGTCTTGCTGAAAGACACACTAACAGTTTGGCACTTTACAGCCGCAGCCGCCGCACTGTGGCACCTGATGTTCCCAGGGGTCTCCCATCACGGTACTAACCAGGCCCCACTTTGTTTAGCTTCAGGAGCCTGACAATCAAGCTTTCACCTGCAATTTAAAAAAATATATATTATCATTAAACTGTGTTTGTTAAGATATATAGGAGGGTTTTCTTCTTCCGGGTGGATCATCAAGACTTTTGGTCCTACTTGCCAATCAATGCCGATGCCGACAGTGACTTGTAAACAGACGCTCTGTTTACGGAGGAGGAGAACTGGGTTTTGTCTCTCGCACATGAAGGCTGGAGAGGGCAGTTTTTTCCTAAAATTTGGGAAAATCCCAAATTAAAAATTATTTTTTTATATTTTTATATTTAATTAAAGCTTTAATTAAATATTTTCTGCTCAATAAAAATTATAATAATAAACCCTTGTTGTTATTTTCTACCGGAAGTTATTGATGAATCACCTGTATTTTTGTTTAATGTATTTTCTGTTTCACTATTATTATTACTATTATTATGAATAATAGTAATAATAATAGTGATTAAAAATAATAATTATAATGATAATGTTAAGAACTAATCTCTGAAATACTTGAGATTTTTTTTTATGTCGATTCATTTATTATATTGGCAGTTTTGGCCTTCCATAGAACTGCATTTGTTTATTCTGTTCCTTTTTCCTTCTATAGCTTGAAATTTTATTAGGAGCCCCCAAAAAAGAAGCTGGGAGGTTTTTTTATTGAGTACATTATACAGACATTATATCAGGGTCTGTCATCGTGGGAAGCTTGTTTGCTCATATTTTATTTCTATTGGGGTTCTTTTCACAATATGGAAGAGGATCACTTTTATTTAACTATTTGACTATTTTCAAAACTAAATGTGTTCAGTTTCATTTGAACCAAATCTGGACCAATAAGACTTGTTATGTGGACTGATGGGCCAATTATTTATATAAATAATTGTGGATTAATGTTTATAATAAGTTTAATGATTTATGTGTTCTTTAGAAAAATCCAGCTTTATAATTAGACCATGAGGAGACAAGCACCATTGATGCTGGCGATTTGAGATTTATTAATGACAATCATCTTGGGCCGTGTGTCCCCGGCCTCAGGTTTTTGACGCCTTTGGACGCAGCATGTACACTTCAGTTTGGATACCAATACACACACACACACACACGCACACACACACACACGCACACACACACACACACGCACATACATACACACACACACACGCACATACATACATAAACCACCACCACCACCAGAGGGAGACAGAGACTAACATTTTGTCTGATTTTATTATATAAAGTGTCACTGATTTTCACATTATTTCTTACATTACATTCACTTGTGTGTCGTCTTTTGTGGGAAATGTTTTTCTGTTATTAGTCAAAACGCTTTTTAGTTTAGTTTATTCTTTGTAATAGTGAAAAACACAGTATCCAGGCACTGCTTATCGTCTGGCTCATGAGCAGACATCTTCATTTCATTCAAACACAAGGAGCTTATGGCTTATTTCATACTAACATCAAAGTGAACGCTACATGCTCTTATTTCCCGTTGTTGACTTTCTTCTGCTGGAACTTCCTGAAGTGCGTCTGGATGGTGGCGGCCGCCTTCTCCACCTCCACGGGGCTCAGGGGGGGCGCAGTCTGGCCCACGCACGTTCCATTGCCGACATTGGAGTCTGAGCACGACAGGACACAGGGGATAGCCAGAGAGGTAGAGGCAATAGCCATGGTGACATACTCTGCAGCAATAACCACGTTCAAACACACAGTTGTGCACATTAGACAGGCCGCCGTCTCTGTCTGTGTCTCCCGCGTCACATTCATACGTTCATTTTTGGAGAGACAGCAGAAAATGGCCTTTTATCTACTATACTTACTTTTTCTATAAACGCCTATGCTGTTCCTCCTGTAGCCGTCAAACTGTGAATAAAGCAACACAAATAAAGATATGGTTTTATTCTGAGAAGAGTATGTGGCGGATCAGAATCCTGTGCTGATAACATTAGTGCATTCCAAAGCGATGGTATCATAACCTGCCACACCGGTGCTTCTCCAGAAACGTGCGCCCTGTGGCCTGACCTCACAATAATCCCATGATTGGGATTAAAGCAGTGAGTGCTTTGCAATGTGCAATGTGTGGGAGGAACACTGTGTTTGCACGCTCCTAAAGACGTGACTGTCGCTGTTTAAGTCCTCTCATCACAGGTCACGATGACTTGTAATGTTTACTATAATTGTAATGTTTGTGTGTTACACTTAGTTATTTAAAAAGTAATCTAATTAGGGTAAAGTATGTGGAACTGAGCTTCACACTTTGGCGTTTTGGGTTAGATGTTGAAAACATACTCTCCGTCTGAACACAGACAAACCTCCTGACAAGTTAACAAAGCACTTGTTTTGGCCATGTGGAATTGTGATTTTCTACAGATTGAGGAGAGAGGACGGCTTGCTTTCGTTACATTAGTAAATGCCAGAAAGAAGTCACGAATGCATTATTTGAAACATGTTTCAAATATTGGGGGTTGTGAGATTGTTATTTTCGATCTCATGATCTGTGTACCCAGATAAAATGATCAATGTTCTTTGTACAATAAATGTAACACTGGTTTTACATTCCGCATGAAGGTGAAGAAGGTTTGGATGATTCACTAATCATGAATTAGCCGATGCACGTAAATAAAACTAGTCTTACTTAATGTTATCTTTATTCTCTATTACAATACTTTGTTCTGAACTTTCATCTTTGCTTTTATCTGTTCTTGCCCTTTTCAAATGTCTAATATTCATCTCACTTGTTTCACACTGAACCACATCTCACCTGCAGGATGTTTCCTGAAAACCTCAGTACATAGTCTTTGTTAAACATGAAAAGATGTCATATGATGAAATGTATGAAGTCCTCAGTCTCTTACTTCATCTGTCCGGCTGTTCTTGCGGCTGTGGGACACAGAGTGAACCTGCCAAGGCAAAGGCTGGGAGACCATATAAGGCAGCGGCTCGGGTTTCCTCTCAAACTGCAGACTGATCTGAAGCAAACAAACACACATTTTCATCACCATTCATTTCACCCTAACCCTAACCCAAACCATTTTCAATAAATTACACACTTTTTAAACAGTGTATATTTTGGACAATGACTTTATACAATAATTATTGAGCATGAAGAGAAGCCTGAGGTCTTTTTCAGGGCAGAATAATCATTCATTAACAGCTGTGTTTAAAAAGACAATTCACCTGAAAAAGATTTCACCAAAAACAGTGTCCTCAACACTTAGGGCCGCAACTGACGCTTCATCGAGGGATTGTTCCTTCCATTAATTGATGGTTTATTTGACACATCAACATCCTAATAGCAAATACTAATAGATCTCATTCCTAGACAGAACAATGAGTAATATTTGAGTTTGTTATTTGTCCATAACAAAGTCCACATTCAAGCACAAGGTGATGTGGTGTGTCCATCAGAAGCTGCCGCTTCAGGACTGACAGGAGAAGAGAAGGAGTGACATCAAGGCCAGCCTCTAAGGCAGCTCCAACAACAGTATCTTTGGATTGGCAGACGGGGGTGGGGGTCTCTTTCTTTAAGAAGGGGGAGCAGAAGGTATTTTCCAATTATGGGATCACACAATTCTTCTTGGAACCTCACTTTCCCAGTTAAGATAGTGTACTTCACCCTTCCTGTCACCACCTGTCCAGGTGTGATTTGTAGATCTGGAGAAGACGTTTGATTGTAGGGCTGTCCGGTATTCAGAGCTGTGTTTGTGTTGTCAGTGCATAGGCCTTTGTCCTATTTCACAGGTTTTTTTCCCTGTCTTTATGGACAGAACTTGAAGCTGCAGCCTGGAGGCAGAGGGAGTTTTCCACATACAGCAGAGATAAACTCTTGTGGTCTCCACATCGATGTTGTCTTGTTGGCTTCAACAAACCTTGGCCATCATTATGCACTGAGACGGTTTGCAGTTGGCTGGGATCAAAAATTAGCTACTTCAAATCTGAGGGGGGTGAAGAGAGTGAGTGAGGGAAAGATGGAGAGATAATGACACACGAGCTTTGTATGGTTTCTGTATCGGACTGTTGTGGTGCGGAGGGAGCTGAGTTAAATGAAAAAGCTTTTACTCGAAGGACATGATTGTGGATACGAGCGGTTGAAATGAGTTTCCAGCGCAGAGTTTCTACTCAGGGTGAGGAGTCCCATCACACGGGAGGGGCTTGAGAAGAGCTGCAGCTTCTCCACATCAAGACGAGCTAACAGTATGTAAGTAAACAATGTTTATTTATATAACGCATTTTAAAGACCAAGGTCACCCAAAGCTTTACAAGGTTCAGAGTTCATTCATTGTTCCATTCTCTCCACACACAGTGATGACGGAAGCAAGTCTCCGAACACACTTCCATCAACGAGAAAGAGGCTCGACAAGTCATCAGAAAGTCCAGTCCAGTTTGAATGTCCAATATCCAACACAAAACAGCTTTTCGTCCTGACTGTCTCAACTAGGACTGTTTTGCCCACTTCTTTTAGCAAAACACTTAACCCCACTTTGCCTGAAGCCCCTGCTGAAAGAGGAGGACCTGCAGGAGGATCAGTGAGCGGCTGGTGCTCTTTGAAGTGACCGACCCAGAAATGGATTATGTGGAAGAAGATGGATGGACCTGCAGTTTGTCCACATGGTGAGGAGTAGACCAGAAATGAGCCCTTGGGTGATTTGGATTGTTTTCATTGCTACTTATGTTCAGCTACACAATCGTTTTGGCTCCTTTGTGTTTTAGTCATTCTGATATCAAAGTATCTAAAGTCTATATACCACACTGGTTCTGTTGCAGTTTGCAAAATGGCGGCACGTAAAACTTCCACAGCCACGACTTATAGTAACATTTTGTGCATGTTGCCAGCGTCGGCAATGGGTACCTCATATCTGAAGAGAACATTTTAAGAGTTTCAACCAGACTTTTTCTATTTAATTTCTTGTTAAATATTAAACAATAAAACACCCACTTTTTACTCTGCACTGTAAGAATGATTGATTACAATGAACGAATAATTCCAAGCAAATCTACACAACTACAGTTTAACACCACTAACTCTAACCTTAAATCTACACAACTACAGTTTAACACCACTAACTCTAACCTTAAATCTACACAACTACAGTTTAACACATTAACTCTAACCTTAAATCACACAACTATAGTTTAACCCTGCACATTTCTCTCACACAAAGCATCTCACCGATTCCACCACTTTGACCATCATGTACATGGCAGTTAGCATGGTGACCAACATCTTGACCACGGTTCCTGAGTGAATAAGTCTTCAAAAAAACCGTTTCCTCTCTTCTCTCAGACTCCAGGTGATGGCCGCACAATGACGACGCAGACAGAGCGAGAGATGAGGGCCCGGCCTTTAAACAGCTTTGCAGGACACAAATAGAAGAGCAGTAATCTTTTCCTCAGCACCGCTCTTATCCCTGCTGTGTCCTCATGTGCCATTTGATCAATTCCTTTTTTTCTTTGCTTCATGCAGAATAGGGAGATAAAAAAGATTTAAAACGTACTGATGTAAACATACTGCTGCTGACATGTACTGATGTAAACATACTGCTGCTGACATGTACTGATGTAAACATACTGCTGCTAACATGTACTGATGTAAACACACTGCTGCTAACATGTACTGATGTAAACATACTGCTGCTAACATGTACTGATGTAAACATACTGCTGACATGTACTGATGTAAACATACTGCTGCTGACATGTACTGATGTAAACATACTGCTGCTAACATGTACAGATGTAAACATACTGCTAACATGTACTGATGTAAACATACTGCTGCTAACATGTACTGATGTAAACATACTGCTGCTAACATGTACTGATGTAAACATACTGCTGCTAACATGTACTGATGTAAACATACTGCTGCTAACATGTACTGATGTAAACACACTGCTAACATGTACTGATGTAAACATACTGCTGCTAACATGTACTGATGTAAACATACTGCTGCTAACATGTACAGATGTAAACATACTGCTAACATGTACTGATGTAAACATACTGCTGCTAACATGTACTGATGTAAACATACTGCTGCTAACATGTACTGATGTAAACATACTGCTGCTAACATGTACTGATGTAAACATACTGCTGCTAACATGTACTGATGTAAACATACTGCTGCTGACATGTACTGATGTAAACATACTGCTGCTAACATGTACTGATGTAAACATACTGCTAACATGTACTGATGTAAACATACTGCTAACATGTACTGATGTAAACATACTGCTGCTAACATGTACTGATGTAAACATACTGCTAACATGTACTGATGTAAACATACTGCTAACATGTACTGATGTAAACATACTGCTGCTAACATGTACTGATGTAAACATACTGCTGCTAACATGTACTGATGTAAACATACTGCTGCTAACATGTACTGATGTAAACATACTGCTGCTGACATGTACTGATGTAAACATACTGCTAACATGTACAGATGTAAACATACTGCTGCTAACATGTACTGATGTAAACATACTGCTGCTGACATGTACTGATGTAAACATACTGCTGCTGACATGTACTGATGTAAACATACTGCTGCTAACATGTACAGATGTAAACATACTGCTGCTAACATGTACAGATGTAAACATACAGCTGCTAACATGTACAGATGTAAACACACTGCTAACATGTACTGATGTAAACATACTGCTGCTGACATGTACTGATGTAAACACACTGCTAACATGTACAGATGTAAACATACTGCTGCTGACATGTACTGATGTAAACATACTGCTGCTAACATGTACTGATGTAAACATACTGCTGCTAACATGTACAGATGTAAACATACTGCTGCTAACATGTACAGATGTAAACATACTGCTGCTAACATGTACTGATGTAAACATACTGCTGCTAACATGTACAGATGTAAACATACTGCTAACATGTACTGATGTAAACATACTGCTGCTAACATGTACTGATGTAAACATACTGCTGCTGACATGTACAGATGTAAACATACTGCTAACATGTACAGATGTAAACATACTGCTGCTAACATGTACTGATGTAAACATACTGCTGCTAACATGTACAGATGTAAACATACTGCTGCTGACATGTACAGATGTAAACATACTGCTAACATGTACTGATGTAAACATACTGCTGCTAACATGTACTGATGTAAACATACTGCTGCTGACATGTACAGATGTAAACATACTGCTGCTAACATGTACTGATGTAAACATACTGCTGCTAACATGTACTGATGTAAACACGCTGCTAACATGTACTGATGTAAACATACTGCTGCTAACATGTACTGATGTAAACATACTGCTGCTAACATGTACTGATGTAAACATACTGCTGACATGTACAGATGTAAACATACTGCTGCTAACATGTACAGATGTAAACATACTGCTGCTAACATGTACAGATGTAAACATACTGCTAACATGTACAGATGTAAACATACTGCTGCTAACATGTACTGATGTAAACACACTGCTGCTAACATGTACTGATGTAAACATACTGCTGCTAACATGTACAGATGTAAACATACTGCTAACATGTACAGATGTAAACATACTGCTGCTAACATGTACAGATGTAAACATACTGCTGCTAACATGTACTGATGTAAACATACTGCTAACATGTACTGATGTAAACATACTGCTGCTAACATGTACTGATGTAAACATACTGCTGCTAACATGTACTGATGTAAACATACTGCTGCTAACATGTACTGATGTAAACATACTGCTGCTAACATGTACTGATGTAAACATACTGCTAACATGTACAGATGTAAACATACTGCTGCTAACATGTACTGATGTAAACATACTGCTGCTAACATGTACTGATGTAAACATACTGCTGCTAACATGTACTGATGTAAACATACTGCTGCTGACATGTACAGATGTAAACATACTGCTGACATGTACTGATGTAAACATACTGCTGCTGACATGTACAGATGTAAACATACTGCTGCTGACATGTACTGATGTAAACATACTGCTGCTAACATGTACTGATGTAAACATACTGCTGCTGACATGTACAGATGTAAACATACTGCTGACATGTACTGATGTAAACATACTGCTGCTAACATGTACAGATGTAAACATACTGCTGCTGACATGTACTGATGTAAACATACTGCTGCTAACATGTACTGATGTAAACATACTGCTGCTGACATGTACAGATGTAAACATACTGCTGACATGTACTGATGTAAACATACTGCTGCTGACATGTACAGATGTAAACATACTGCTGACATGTACTGATGTAAACATACTGCTGCTGACATGTACTGATGTAAACATACTGCTGCTAACATGTACTGATGTAAACATACTGCTGCTAACATGTACTGATGTAAACATACTGCTGCTAACATGTACAGATGTAAACATACTGCTGCTGACATGTACAGATGTAAACATACTGCTGACATGTACTGATGTAAACACAACTATTTATTACTTGCACTAGAATACATATTACTTTTTACTTGCTTCTTCTTCAGGTAGAAATTTTATATTTCTTTATTATGCTAAAGTCAGAGTTTTGTTTACTCATTATGCGAAAGATAGAGATTTATACTTTGTAAATCCTCATGCAAAGGTCCTCTTTCCTACTGCACTGTAACTGGTAATGCAACACTGGAATTTACCCGCTGTGGGACAAATAAAGGTCTCTTAATTTTACTTACTTTTACTACTTCAATTTTTCACTTTCTCACTTTTTCACCATAGAAGCAGCTGAGTAAATTTTACAAAAGAAAACTCAATGAAATGTCATGGATTAAGACAAAAGGCTTTGGAGGATTGGTGTGAAAATTATTTAATCCGATTCATTGACATTGACATTCGGGCTCGTGTGGTTTTCCAATTCATAACTTGACATTACCTGACAGCGATGAAGAAATTAGGTACCGTTTTTGTCATCACAGGGAAATGTGTCTTGTAGGGTTAGATAAATGCAAGATGAATTTGATAGTTTAGGAAGTTTCACCTCGTCTTCTTATTAGTATTGAAAGGTTTGGGTTCTTCTACACCAGACAATATAAGGTTTTGTGATTCATTAAGGTAATAACATCACAAAAGCTTATATTGTCTGGTACAGAAGAACCCAAACATTATTAAGATGAATTAGAACCAAACAAACACGGTGAGGGGGAAGTACTCGCATACACACGTTTCTCCTTTTTTCCCATCGCTTATAACAACCATGGTGCCTAATTCATGAAGTATAACTCAAAGTGCCATTTTAATAAAAGCCGTCTCTACAAAGCATGACCTGCCTTTGAGCTGCCAAACATGAATAAAGACTTTGGAACATCCGCTCACTATCTGAAGCCATCCGATGAGTGAATAAAACAGATTATCAAGGTGTGCGTCACGACCAACGTCTGCAGCCACCCATCCCTCAAAGCAAAGATAATCCACGTTTGGCCACAATCAATGCATAATTAAGCATGGATGCAGTTATCAGTGGTTTCTATCGGCTGGTATGAGAACAATTTGAAAAAGTCGACTGCATTTCTGCGTGATGGTAATCTGTGTACGTGTGTGTGACACCAAACCTTTAGACGAATGAGAGAGAGAGAGCTATTATAAAAGACATTATTTGTGTCAACGTCTGCACATTTTTGACTGCCAAGAAAGAGGTAAGAACTTTTTAAAGTGATTTATGTGATCAATTTGGGCAGAGAGGAGAAAGAAAATAATACTTTAAAAAATCTGATCAAAGTTGAGTAAACTAATGTGTTTTTTACCAGATATAAGATGATGTATGAGGTTGTACTTTGATTATTATTGTTACTTTCAACTTTATACTTTGATGGGTATTGCAAGAAAAATATCATCAACATAATTATTGGCATTATTCCCCCATAATGAGACAGTGCAGCTTTGTACACTCTCTCATATGTAAGTATATTTATCTGTGCTGTAATTATTAGCCTATATCTGCACTATTGTACTGCTGGTTACTGTAGATGCATTTTTTTGCATTTTTCTGATAATGAAGTAATCTAATCTAACAAAAAAGGATGGGCAAAATCTATGTTACCAGTAATTTATCACAGTTCTATGTGCTATTTCTGCTTCACAATTTTAGAGACAGCATTTTACTATTATTCAACAATAAGGCTCGAGTACTTAACTTTGAAACTGCATTAACTATGAAAAATATATCCAT